TAAGGCTATTCTGGCCACTTCTTCGACTTTACGCAGAGTGGCCGTTGGTGACTCCGAGTAACGGAAGAAGAACGTCCAAAGCAGGCGACACATTGCCTGAAGAGCTGTTCCCCGGGTAGGACGATCTTTCAGCCTCGACGGGAGGCTCTGTATCACCGAAAGCCATTGCGAAGAAAAGTTTTCTTTAGTTGAAACACATAGTAAGAGCACGTGGAGGGGGAATGCTGCAGCCCAATGACGTGGCTTGGTCAGCATCTGCGATAGACGAGACTGAACCAAGTCAACGAACTCCTTCCATTTAGGGAGACTAAGGTCGCAGGTAGTGCTTGCTGCTACTGGAAGTAGTAGCTTTTCGAGTATGTAGCAGTATGCTTGCTTGACGCGCGGCCCGTGAGCGTTCGCAAATAAGCGCGCAAGGGACAGCATGAATTCACAGCATTTACCCCAGATCTCAGGATGTGTTCTGATACGAACGTGCCTCATTCCCAAGATCAGAAGCTCGGCCTTGGCATCGCCCTCTTTCGAAGGCCCGCGTAGCGTTTCGTCCTTTTGATATTTATCCAGCTCTTGCAGAAATCTGTTTGCAACGCCCGCAAAGCTGGTCTCGCTCATAATACCGAGTAGTTGCGAGTAGATTCTCCAATTGGCCATGCGAAGGGATGACGCCGATATCTGATCAGGATCAACGGCCTTCAACTGACCGAAGACAATGTCCTCCAGGCGATCCACCATGTCCAAAGTAATTGAAGCAAGGCTACTTTGATTGAAGATCTCGATCAGGATTCTGCAAACCAGGTAGACCGACACTGTCGCTCGCCTCTCTGCCATGATGACTTCATCGTGCCTAGACAGCAGCGTCCGGGGAGGGGAATTTGAGTCGGACGGGGTAGCTGACTCAGTAATGATCTGAGGTGGCTCAGTGTTGCGCCGGATGAGAATCCCATTATCAGCAGCAGGTGGCTTGGGCTAAGATGGTTCGGGAATTAGCAAGAGGTGATCTAGGGGGGTCGTAAAATACCTAAAACTTACCTGACCAGCAACCTGTTTCGCCACGATAGCCGCATCACCTATCGCTTTCCTCCAGTACATGATGGTGTCAATCAGGGGCTTCGGATTTCGCCGTGCAATGTAACCCAGAGCTGATATCAATTGGTCGAAGCTTGCGTCTGCACCCGGCCCGCATACCTCTTCGACTGGCGCGTCAGATTCACCGAGTTTCATGATAGCTTGGTTGATCTTGTGTTCGGCTTGTCCGATAAACTTCAACACGGGTTAACGCCCGTCTTACTCACGAGAAGGTGGATTGACTTACAGCATTGAAAAGGTGATGAAGTGCATATTCCTCCGTAGATTTTATATCAGGGTGAGGTCTTGAGTGTGAGCGGCTATGGGATCGTTCCTGTTTTGGCTTTCCATTGGAATTCATGCGTTTATGAGTCGCAACGGCCAGACTGCCGCTAACGACGTCGTCCCCATCTCGATCGTCTATTGTACTCAGTATTCCCTGTGTATGAGTGCTTGCCCCGTTGCTGCCCTGGTACTGAAAGGTTGAATGCATACTGGGCTGTTCTGGTCGGCTTGACCCGGTACCTTCCGGCTCGGCCGCGCCACTTCGACCCAGGGATGCGATCAGTTCGGAACTCAGCGGACTGCTGGATGCTGTTGAGGCAGCAAAACTTGGGTTGCGGGAGTGCTGGATCCCGTGTACAATGGAGGTTTGACGATGGTGACCATAGGAGTTTGACGGCCTCCTCTCGAGACCACCATCATATCCGAAACCGGGTCGTCCAGCGATTGGCTCGGGACTTTTCGAATGGGAGGCACCGCGGCGGTTGTTCTGAGGCTGTAGACTCGAAGAGGACAAGGAAGCAGAATCAAGGCCCCTCACCGTAGACGTTTCGCGGCTGTGAACAGTGGAAGATGGGGTGCTTCTCGTGACGAGACGTTCTGGTGGAGCTGAAAAGATATGGTGCGACACAGGGTTCGAATCGTCAGGGATGAGGGGCATTGGCGTTGACTGTAACGGACCAGCCTTAATCGACGGATGTGAGGCCACTAGCGAAAGAAGCAGATTAGCACCAAGCTATCATCTCGAGCCTGTGATAGGATAGGAGGGAGCGATAGAATGAGATTTGGCATGCAGAGCGGCAGTGCTATCAGACACAAGAAAGCATTTTGATCAGGCAGGATCACGTACTGTTGTACTGGTGGTGGTAGTTTGAAGTCAGGCTGAATTCATTTCTGAGTAATGCTCTTCTCTGTCAGAGCGGAACAACCTATAAGATTGAGCAAGCAGTGCATTGTTACTCTGCTGCTCAGAGATTGTCGGCTGGAACAAGAGATAACGACTGTTGATGCATAGGTTTTGAGATCACCGAAGCTTTGTCGCTGGAAAGACCGGTTCGTTCGCGACCGAAAGAGGCTCGGAGCACGGGGAAGATGGGTAACAGTGCGGAGGACCTTTAGGAGAGGGAACGTCACTGCTATCATCTCTGTCTATTTCTCTGTCTCTCTGTCTCTCTATTCTCCCAACAAAGAGTCGCCAATACTTTGCCCACCTTTTCAGTTACTCTTACTCCATACAGGCTATCAAATCACAGGATTAAAATAAGGTATCTCATCCGAGAGAGTTTAAATTTCCTGTCATCTTCCAATTTCCTCGTATGTTCTCTGTTCTTCACGGGAGCCTCAAGCGTCTGGACAATAAGCAAGAGGTACCTAGTTACCGGGTATTGAGGATCATGGTCAAATAAGCTTGATTGTCCGCATTGAAAACTGTGCATACAAACATTAATTGCTCTGCTATTGAGTTTCCGAAGATCCCGGTCTCGTCCAAGCGATCAGATACCTGAGAAAGTGAAACACGACACGCACGAATGCAAGGCGACCTACGTTGAGGACATCAAGGGGGCGGCGAATGCGACCGCCTGGAGCTGGATGCATAGTCTCACCGATAGAGGTGATCGCCTCAAACTTCAGATGATGTTTGTGGCGACTCTACCGAGCTTGGAATCATCTTCACTGGACCAGACCGGGGTCGTGAGAATGATAGCATTACCGCAAGTGAGAATCGGCTGGACATGGACGATAGTAGAAACCCAACAATTTGAAACCTTTCATGGTCCAGACAGTCCTTCAGCGGTGCACACTATAAGTTACCAACCATCGCTGTCATGGCTCCGGCTCCGGCAATGACGAGCAGTCTTACGAGAGATTTCGACTGCTGACACGAGACTGACTTGCTAGCGGTTCACTAATGCTGCCATCTGAATTGGTAGATGGCGGACAAATATTACTTTTAAACTTGTATACTGCGATGGAATCCTCTAGAAGGATGATGTGCTGTTGCAGCGACATCCATATGGAGATGTTGTCCCGACCACGATGTGCATGCAGTTCAGTGTATATGCGGAATGAATCCGTCCATCGCGATGAGGCTGGTCGGGGAACGGCACTGGCGTCTGGAATTACCGCGGCGCGGAAACGTCAATAAGCCTTGGGGGGCACGCGGAACAAGCAGCAGTCTAAAGCACAGTTACATCGGTGGTGGTTGTACGGGGATGCTCCAAGTCACACTGCCGTAGTCAGAACCAGCCAGATCCCTCGTGCACTGGACACACAGTATATACAGTACAATACGCAAATGCCCCAGGACAGTTGGCTTAGTTATGTGTACAAATTAATAGTTATGTATACAAAAGTGAGCATGTGCTGCTCTATACCAAGTTACCAACGCAAAGAAACTGCCACAAAGGCGGAACTCGGCTAGTTGGCCTCTTGGTCGGCAGCATCGTTCGGGAGATCCCCCAGATTGTTTGGCGCCTTTCACATTCATTTCTGGTCTTGAGTCGACCGCCACCTGGGTCTCTGGGATGGCCATAGGCTCATCCCAGGGCCGAATTCTCCTTCCGAACCAAACTGTATTTCGGTCAAAGTGTCGGCCCATGGGGTATATCCCCACACCTTCACATTATCAGGAAGGGTATATATTTCGTAGAACAGGCCCAATTTTCAAGACCACCCCTAGGATTTCTAGGTGACTTGCCAGATCAACCCTTCCAACTTGAGGACAATCACCACATACTGTGGACTCTTACAGCAAATCGATCTTATCCTATTCCAGAATTTGAGAAACCTAACTTGAAAGCGAGACACCTTGGATCTGAAAGACACTCGAGTCCAATTGAGGAACTCCTAAACAAGGTACTGAGTATCAGGCAGTCTGATCACCGGAGTCCGACGACTGCACCTGGCAATTTGCAACAATTGCCAAGGATAGATTAGCGGCACGGTTGAACCCACCAGCCGTCCGAGTTCCGAAGCACCGGACCCCCCGAATAGGACAGTGAGAAAGAAAGCCCGCCTCAACTGGCACTGCACTGCTCTGAACCTGCAAAAGCCATTTTCGCCTGAGGCACAGACAAACCTCTCCACTATTTGTCGACTTTTGAAGTCTTGGACCCATTTTCTACTCTATCGATCAGTCCCTCAACAGTTCCCGCCCGGTTCTCGGCGCCCCTCCGTCTCATTCATTGCTCTGGGATGCGCCGGCGGTCTGTTTATGCTTGCTGCTTGTGACTGAGGCCAACTGATAAGTTAACCGGCATTTCGTCTTTCCCTAGATCAGACCACGGTTCCCTCATCTTACCCTCCTCGGGTCTTGGCCCTGGTCTTCTCCTCTCTCTCCCTTTCCGTTCTTCCTCTTCCTTCTTTCCTTCTATCTTTCCATTCCATTTTTGTACTCTCCCTCCCCGGAGTCCTCCTTGGAGCACGCCACCTGCTTGGAATTATTCCTTTGGTGATCGCTGCTGGGAACTCGATTCAGCCTGAGGGACCTTTCGGTTTTCCCTCGTTTACTTCCCCCCCGCTCGCTCCCCCCCTTCTTTGCGCCCTCCCGTCTCTCCGCTCGAGTTAGTCTGCGCCTCCGGCCCAGGCTTACCCAGTCTCAACATCAACCACCGGGGCTACTGCTCTCGCATCGCCCACAGAGCCCCGTCATCATGGCGCAACTCGACACCCTCGATTTGGTAGTCTTGGCGGTGCTTTTGGTGGGTAGCGTTGCCTACTTCACCAAGGGCACCTACTGGGCTGTTGCCAAAGACCCCTATGCCTCTACAGGTCCCGCCTTGAATGGTGCCGCCAAGGCCGGCAAATCCAGAAACATCGTCGAAAAGTTGGAGGAGACTGGCAAGAACTGTGTGATTTTCTATGGATCGCAGACTGGAACCGCAGAGGATTATGCCTCTCGATTGGCAAAGGAAGGATCTCAGCGATTCGGGCTCAAGACCATGGTCGCTGATCTTGAGGATTATGACTATGAGAACCTGGACCAGTTCCCCGAAGATAAGGTTGCGTTTTTCGTTTTGGCCACGTACGGCGAAGGTGAACCCACCGACAACGCTGTTGAGTTCTACCAGTTTCTCACCGGCGAGGATATCGCTTTTGAGAGCGGCGCTTCTGCCGATGACAAGCCGTTATCGTCCCTCAAGTATGTCGCATTCGGCCTGGGTAACAACACCTACGAGCACTATAATTCGATGGTCCGCAACGTGGATGCCGCTTTCCAGAAACTCGGAGCTCAGCGGATTGGCACTGCCGGTGAGGGTGATGACGGCGCTGGTACTATGGAAGAAGACTTCTTGGCATGGAAGGAGCCCATGTGGGCGGCGTTGTCTGAAGCCATTGGTCTGGAGGAGCGAGAGGCGGAGTATGAGCCCGTCTTCTCCGTCGCCGAAGATGATTCTCTGAGCCCTGAGGACGATTCTGTTTACCTTGGTGAGGCCACCAAAGGCCATCTCGAAGGCAGCCCGAAAGGCCCATTCTCTGCCCACAACCCCTACATCGCCCCGATCGTCGAGTCTCGTGAACTATTCACTGTCAAGGATCGCAACTGTCTGCACATGGAAATCAGTATTGCTGGAAGCAACTTGTCGTACCAAACTGGTGATCACATCGCTATCTGGCCAACCAATGCCGGTGCGGAAGTTGATCGGTTCCTCCAAGTTTTTGGTCTCGAAGGAAAGAGACACACGGTTATCAACATCAAGGGCATTGATGTGACTGCCAAAGTCCCGATCCCCACCCCTACCACGTACGATGCCGCTGTTCGCTACTACCTGGAAGTCTGTGCCCCTGTTTCTCGTCAATTCGTCTCATCTCTCGCCGCCTTTGCTCCCGATGAGGAGAGCAAGGCGGAAATCGTTCGTCTCGGTAGCGACAAGGATTATTTCCATGAAAAGATTTCGAACCAGTGCTTCAACATCGCACAGGCTCTTCAAAGCATCACCCCCAAACCGTTCTCTGCCGTGCCTTTCTCTCTACTCATCGAGGGCCTCACCAAGCTGCAGCCTCGCTACTATTCCATCTCCTCGTCCTCCCTTGCGCAAAAAGATAAGATCAGTGTCACTGCGGTTGTCGAGTCGGTTCGTTTGCCTGGCGCCTCTCATGTTGTCAAGGGTGTGACGACGAATTATCTTCTTGCACTCAAGCAAAAGCAAAATGGCGATCCTTCTCCCGACCCTCACGGACTGACCTACGAGATTAACGGTCCACGCAACAAGTATGACGGTATCCACGTCCCTGTCCATGTTCGTCACTCGAACTTCAAGCTGCCCTCTGATCCTTCTCGGCCTGTTATCATGGTCGGACCTGGTACCGGTGTTGCTCCTTTCCGTGCCTTCATTCAGGAACGAGCTGCTTTGGCTGCCAGGGGCGAAAAGGTTGGACCCACAGTTTTGTTCTTTGGCTGCCGCAACCGCAACGAGGATTTCATGTATCAGGATGAATGGAAGGTATGCTCTGGCTCTCCTGTCCCCCTTTTAGTATGCACTTGAGACTCACCAAATAATTTCTGTAGATTTACCAGGAACAGCTTGGGGACTCGCTGAAGATCATCACTGCATTTTCTCGCGAATCTTCCCAGAAGGTGTATGTTCAGCATCGCTTGAGCGAGCATGCCGAACTCGTCAGCGACCTTCTCAAGCAGAAGGCAACCTTCTATGTCTGCGGTGATGCTGCGAACATGGCGCGTGAGGTTAACCTTGTACTTGGTCAAATCATCGCCAAGCAGCGCGGTCTTCCTGCCGAAAAGGGCGAAGAGATGGTTAAGCACATGCGCAGCAGCGGTAGCTACCAGGAAGATGTGTGGTCATGATTTCTTTCGGTGTGCATAGGATATAGTGATCCTTTCTCCCGATACGACTTTCTGTTTCGTACTTTTTTCATGTCTAGATGATCTTTGCATATAAACTTCGCCGCATTTCTTGGTTTGTTGCTTGGCGTGGCTCATGTATGCCTAGTGTTTGGTTCTTCTCTGCGGCATTAATTGGTTCTGCAGAGTTATTGGTATGGTGTGTCGGCCGAGTTTCGGTCATCGAGTTTTGCAGGGAACCAGGATAGATCATGATGAAAGCTTCCTTCGACCTTCAACAAATGATTCACCAGAATGCTATATAGAGACCCATGGTTACACAAGTCTGAGAAACATCTGTTACTTACTGTATATTCTATTTGAACTACCTCGGAAGGTTCTGTGTTTTCCTCGTTTGTTACATTTATCGACCTAAATGCCAGTCGTCATTCCAAGCGGAAAAAAGTGGAGTGTAGACGAGTCTGAACTGTGAAAGTCGAGTGCAATCTGGATATTCTGCCATAATAGAGAGGATGTTGTCTTGAGTAGGCTGGTTGCCGTCCAAGCCTGGAGAGAGACCGATCTTCGGGCATAACACGGAGTTAGAGGCTAGCCCATCGTCTGCTGAACGGGACGAACCCGCCGCGACCATCGTCATTTCACTATCACTAATCCTACATTCCAGCCTCTTGGCCTTTTGGCAATCCCACCCGTCCGCATTTGAATAGTTCAGCCCGCAGCAAAGTTATGCAGTTACTTGTACAGTTCTGAGAGCACCGACCTTGCCACCACGTTCGCTTGAATTCTCACACTGTCCCGGGGCGTCCGTCGCTTGTCGTCTCGTTATCATACCCCCGCAGTAGTCCCCACAGCGAAAAGCGCAATCAGTTACTTGCCTCGACCGAGCACCGAGAAATAGGGTCACCGCCAGGATGGCCTACGTTGTGCCGATCCACCGGGCAAGCAGCATACGACATGCGCTGACGCTGCAGTTCATGAAACCGGAGGAGGAGGTTCTGGTTGTTGCGTTGGTTGACCTTGCTTCTTCCAATTCAGACGTTCCTTTGCGTTGCGGTTCAGCGGCTAACTGTTGTCTTTCATTCCCCGATAGGAAGGCGAATCGACTCGAATTCTACAATCCCACTCCCGATGGGTTGAGCCTCGCCGCTTCGTGCTCTCTCTTCGCTAGAGTCACGATGCTGGCCCGACTTCCGGCTCCCGCCGACTCGTCCACCGATCACCTTGTTGTGGGCACAGACCGCTACACCTACTGCTCACTATCGTGGGACAGTACGAGGAATCAAGTGCGCACGGAGAGGAACTATGTGGATGTCGCTGACCCGTCTTCGCGGGAGGCTCAGACGGGCAATCGTTGCTTGATCGATCCGAGTGGCCGTTTCATGACGCTCGAAGTCTATGAGGGCGTCATTGCGGTAATTCCCATCGTGCAGTTGCCCAGTAAGAGGAGAGGAAGGCAGGTCACCTTGCCTTCGGGGCCAGACGCACCCCGCATTGGTGAGCTTGGCGAGCCAACAACGACCCGAATCGATGAGCTGTTCGTGCGCTCCTCGGCATTTTTGCACGTCCAGTCAGGATTGCCCCGGATTGCGCTGCTTTACGAGGATAATCAGAAGAAAGTGAGACTTAAGGTCCGGGAGTTGCACTACAGCGCGGCGACCACAACCGTGAGCGCGGACGCGTCGTTTGAGGAGCTGCTAGATGGCTTTTCTGAGGAACTCGATCTTGGAGCATCTCATCTCATACCGGTGCCCGCTCCTTTGGGTTTGTGCCTCCCCCACCATTCATGCATAACCTGGTTTGGAAAGGGTATGTGACTGACTGGACTAGGCGGTCTTCTTGTCCTGGGCGAAACGTCGATCAAGTACGTTGATACTGACAGCAATGAGATCGTGTCTCGCCCTTTAGATGAGGCTACTGTGTTCGTGGCTTGGGAGCGTGTGGATAGTCAGCGCTGGCTGCTGGCTGATGATTACGGAAGATTGTTTCTACTTATGTTGGTTCTGGATTCCAACAGTCAGGTCCAGTCTTGGAAGTTGGATCACTTAGGGAACACATCACGGGCATCCGTATTAGTGTACCTTGGGGCTGGAATCATCTTTGTCGGCTCCCATCAAGGTGATTCTCAAGTACTTCGGATCGGAAATGGGTCATTCGAGGTGATTCAGACGCTCTCCAATGTGGCACCGATTCTTGACTTCACAATTATGGACCTTGGGAACCGTACCAATGAGAGCCAAACGCACGAATTCTCTTCTGGCCAAGCCCGCATTGTCACTGGCTCAGGTGCCTTTGACGACGGAACCCTCAGAAGCGTGCGCAGCGGCGTCGGCATGGAGGAATTGGGTGTGCTGGGTGAGATGGAGCACATCACCGATCTGTGGGGGCTGCGAGTAGCCGCCCCGGGTGGATTCCTTGACACTCTCCTTGTCACCTTCGTGGATGAAACACGAGTTTTCCAGTTTAGCCCGGAGGGTGAGGTGGAGGAACTTGACGGCTTCCTTGGGCTGAGTCTCTCAGAGAACACACTTCTCGCCGCCAATCTACCTGGAGGCAAGATATTACAAGTCACCGAACAAAGAGTCCTGATAGCCGATCTCGAGAGTGGCATGGTCACATACGAGTGGACACCGCCTGACCAGCTGGTGATCACTGCTGCTTCAACCAACGACGAATGCATGGTCCTTGTTGTTGGCGGTGAAATGGTGACCGTCCTGGCACTTAAAACCGAACCGCAGGTAGTGACCCAAAAAGACTTCGGCGCCGACAGTCAGATCTCTGGCGTCACAGTCCCTTCTTGCCCCACTGATGCCTGTATCGTCGCATTCCCTCAGTTGGCCAAGGTCTCGGTCTTGAAGCTGCAAGACTTGAGTGACCTCCACACATTGTCGTTGGGCCCTGCAGGCGAGGCTTTTCCTCGCTCTGTTCTTGTGGCGGATGTCCTCATGAACAGTCCGTCAACTCTTTTCATTTCGATGGCAGATGGTAGTGTTATCACCTATTCATTTGATACCAAAGACTACACTTTGGCAGGCATGAACAAACTCATCCTTGGTTCTGAGCAGCCGACCTTTAAGAAGCTCCCGAGAGGGGACGGGCTCTACAATGTTTTTGCAACCTGCGAGAACCCCAGCCTTATATATGGTTCTGAGGGTCGCATTATATATTCCGCTGTGAACTCCGAGGGCGCATCTCGCATATGCCACTTTAACTCCGAGGCATATCCCGAAGCTATCGCTGTTGCCACGCGCCACGATCTGAAGATCGCTCTGGTGGACACGGAGCGGACAACGCAGATTCAGACCCTTCCAGTGGGTGCAACTGCCCGCAGAGTCGCTTATTCACCTTCGGAAAAAGCTTTTGGCATCGGCACCATCGAACGCAAATTGAAAGACGGCGAAGAACAGGTTCAGAGCAGGTTTGTCCTTGCGGATGAGATTCTGTTCCGACGCCTCGATTCCTTTGACTTTCAACCCGAGGAGTTAGTGGAGAGCGTTGTTCGTGCCGAGTTCACAGCAGGTAAAGATGAGACTGGTCGGGAGGTAACCAAGGATCGTTTCATCGTTGGCACAGCGTACCTGGACGATGAGGGAGAAGAGTCGATTCGAGGTCGGATCTTGGTCTTCGAGGTTGACAATGGCCGGAAATTGGCCAAGGTAGCCGAACTGCCTGTGAAAGGTGCCTGTCGTGCATTGGCCATGCTAGGTGAGAAGATTGTAGCGGCTCTCGTCAAGACTGTAAGTTCTCCAAAGGCAATTGTGAGCGATCTTTTCACGTGTACTAACAATCAGTAGGTCGTGGTCTATAGGGTAGTCAACAACAATTTCGGAGCTACGAAGCTGGAGAAACTAGCCAGTTACAGGACCTCTACGGCGCCTGTGGATGTAACGGTGACGGGCAATATCATCGCTGTCGCAGATCTGATGAAGAGTGTCTGCTTGGTAGAATGGAAGGAAGGGGAAGATGGTCTCCCTGACACTTTGACAGAGGTCGCTCGCCACTTCCAGACGGTCTGGGCCACAGGTGTCGCCTGCATCGCGGAGGACACTTTCCTCGAGAGTGACGCCGAGGGTAACCTGATTGTGCTTCGCCGCAATCGAACCGGAGTCGAAGAGGATGATAAGCGCAGGTTGGAGGTCACCGGTGAGATCTCGCTAGGGGAAATGGTCAATCGAATCCGGCCTGTCAATATACAACAACTGGCGAGTGTAACTGTCACTCCCCGAGCATTTCTGGGCACGGTATGTCATCCTGTCTTTTCGATATCACTTTAATCATTGTGCAGACTTCTGACTGCTCTACAACAGGTCGAGGGCTCAATATACCTATTTGCCGTGATCAACCCACAACATCAGGACTTCCTGATGCGTCTGCAAGCCACCATGGCAGGGAAAGTCGAGTCTCTGGGTAACATTCCATTCAATGAGTTCCGTGGGTTCCGCAGCATGGTGCGCGAAGCCAAAGAACCGTATCGTTTTGTGGACGGCGAATTAATAGAACGGTTCTTGACCTGCGAACCAAGTGTACAGGATGAGATTGTCAAGTCCGTGGGGGCGACGGATGTTGACGAAGTCAAGGTTATGATAGAGGCTTTACGGCGACTGCACTAGAAGCCTGAGAGATTTGAGATGACATCTGATCCATGACTACGGGCACAATCTCCGAATACTGACATCAACTCTTTTGTGAGTCAGAAATGAACGATTTTTACCTATGGCCACCATACTGTATAGATGTCATAATATGATCAACTTCAGACTGAAGTGGACGGTGTCCGCCATTTATCCTCATCATTCTGTTGTACCATGTCAATCCAAAGGAACATCGCATGAGCAGCGCTTGCAATGCTTGGTCCATTCTTATTCCACAAGAAGGCTAAGTGAGTAGACGCGTGTAGGGTGCAAAACACTTTTTATGGAGCCCATGAGTGAGCATGTCATAGTAGAAGCAAAATCTATCTCTCACTCTTAAGTCCTTGGTCTCCACTGCAACCAACCCAACTCTCCTCACTCCTCCTCAGTACACACACACACACACACACACACACACACACACACACACACCCCCTCCATCTCTCTCTACTCTCTGCCTCGCAACACTCAACTAAGCAATTCCCCTGGTGGTCTATCTGTCTGTGTTAGCTTGACTGCAGTCATGGTTTTACCTCCCTGGCGTGATGGTGGCAGGCCGATCGACGAGGAGATTGAATTAATCAAAATGGCAGGAGCCGTCACTCCTCGGGAACTGCAGGTCACTGACGAGATCGTGACTCCTTCTTCTGCTACGGCTGCTGCTCTTCCTTCCCCTGAGAGCGAAGGGTGGGAAGGTGTCAGTGCCTGCGAAAGACTCCTGAGGCGTTCTTTCCTCCTCCAGGAGCAGCAACTGCAGCAACTGCAGGAACAGCAAGTGCAACTGCAACAGCCAACTCCTCCCATTCTGCCCTCTTTCTTGCTCTCTCCTCCAATGTCTCCCAGCTTGACTCCCAAGACTCTCTCCTTCTCCTCCTCCTACGCTTCCTCCAAGACCCCCACCAATTCCTCCTCTTCCAGCAGTCATTCATTGCCTTCACGTCCGACATCTTCTTCCTTACCAGCCCATTTATCGTGTAGGTATTACACTACTTCTTCTGTTCCGTAACCTAGGTGCATATGCTCACAGTGGCCTTAGATTCTGTCTCGCCGAATTTCCCGAGCTGTTATACCCATCATCGTGAGTACTCCTGCTTTTTGTCTTCTTCTTCTTCTTCTTCTTCTTCTTCTTCTTCTTCTTCTATTGCTAACAAGCCATGGCTAATACTCTGATAGAAGTCAACTTACCGATGGCGGCTACTATGCATCCTCCTGTCTCTGATTCCAATCAGATGCCTGATTCTCATGGCTTGCCTTCTTTCTTCGGTGGGCTGGGATATCACAACCAGAGGCCTGGACCGAAGTACAACGGGATCAAGAATAACATGCCAATGGCGATGCCTCCCTACAATCAATTTGTTCTTCTGCCGAATGGTACTATCTTCAGCGGACTGCCTCTGGACCAGGGCCCGTATTTACCTGCACATGGCCTCTACTCCGGCTTGGCCCCGCCTTGTCCGGTGGTGCCAACTCCCCCGAGCGACTACTTTCACAACCCCAATGCTGGTCTGGAAGGACCTGGCTTGTCGAATTTCGGATTCAATGGACTTCCTCAGCCAAGTGGGACATGTCTACCTCTCCAGATGATGAAGACTCCGACGGGGTATATTCTCCAGGATCTCGAGACTTTGACGCAGCAAGATCCACCCATCCCACGAGCGGTGCCCGCCATGTGGACAAACCCATCTGATCTGACTCTGGCTAAGTGTCTAGAGAATCGAGAGGGGATTACCAATGTCTACATTCGAGGCTTTCTTCCGGAGACGACTGATGATATGCTGCATGCTTATGCCTCCCGCTTCGGAAAAATAGATCGCTGCAAAGCTATTGTTGACTTGGACACGGGCCTCTGTAAAGGGTTTGTCTGTGCTATCGTCCTGATATCCTCTCTAACAGTGTTCCAGATTTGGATTCGTCCAGTACTACAACTTCGAATCCTGCGAGAACTGCATCCGCGGTTTCTTCTACCTTGGCTACCAGGCCAGTTTCGCTCAGGTACTGTTTTCTCTCCGAAGGGTTTGCTACCTGATCACTGACATTTCTCTAGAAATCCCGCAACTCTAGGCTCAAAGATCTAGAGGATAAGTCTTCGACCAACATTTACTGCACAAACCTACCGATTGAGTGGACAGAGGCTGTGAGAATGCTTGTGCCCGAAAGAAGAAGCTTGTACTAATTAAACTTTATCATAGGATCTTCGTCGTCACTTCGAGCCATATCGTGTGGTCTCGGAAAAGATCAGCCGCGATGAGAAAACCGGAGTGAGCAAGGAGGTTGGCTTTGCTCGGTTAGTGTTTCGAACCGGCGGCGTGAGCCTCGAGTCGTGATTGACTTTGAGCCATAGGTTTGAAACGCGTGACATTGCAGAGAAGGTGTTGGGCGAGTTCCATAACGTCGTCTCCAAGGATGGAGTCAAATTGCTTCTTCGTTTTGCGGATACGAAGGCCCAGAAGCTTCTCAAGCAGCAAAGCAACGAGAGACGCGCATACCGTGCTGGGGAGTATAACTACTCGGTTGAGGTCGTGCAAGGATCCACCCCTTCGCCATCATTGCACCGTATTCAACAGGGCGTGTCGCATATCAGTCCCAACTCGCAGGCCAGCTACGCCTCTCCAGTCGGTGTGTCTCCAGTCGGTGTGGGATCTACCTGGACCCCTGCGACATCCATCTCCCCATCGTACGTTACTGAATGTCTCTGTTCCCTCCCAAGGCATGCTGACGATACAAGCAGGTATCCCCTGATGAAGAGCCAGGCGGGGAACGTGCGCTTCAACTCTTGGTCATCCAAAGGCGGGCCAAGAGCCTTGGAGAACACACCTCTCGGGCGAGGGCAACGCAATGCCTGGACTGACAACGTCTCTGGCGGTTCTTCAAAGATGAACTTTCCAGCAACTCCTTGTGTTGAGACTCGCTCCGAGCAGTCTAGCCCTCGCAAGAGCAACGTCAAGGCTGGTTCCGTGTCTCCCATCTCAGCACGCAAGGAGGTTATTGTGACTTCACCCCGCTCGGTCATCTGAGCATTGAATGTCAACCGTGCCTAATACGCTTGCTTCCCCATGCAATGTGTGCTTGCTTTTATTTCTCGCTTCCTCTTTTTGTTCAAGATTCCGATTTTTCCCTATCTTCAATGGCGAACAACCGTTTGAGAGGCATGAAAGGCTGTGCTATGCGCCATGTCCTTTGAGATGTATCGCCTTTCTAACTGCATGTGTAGAGGTCCACATGTTAACCACGATGGATGACTGATACAAGTCTCGACTGCCTCATCCATTTCAGATGTCATATCACCTTAATCTTTGCTGCATTGCTTTTGTCCGTCTTCTTGAGCTTTTGCCGTTTGCGTGTTATTTGTTCTTCATTTCTTGACGACAGCCACGATTGTATGTTCAGCAGAATGATGTCTGATTTAGGAGTTTGTATCTCTTACAACCTGGCCATTCTGGTACTCATGGAGAGAAGGGTGAAGGGATCATGAAGCGAAGGGACTGAGTGGAAAAGTGGCATTCCTGTATGTGTCTAATCATGGTTACTCCTTCCGACTCCATAAAACTATCAACGCAGTCTACAGGCTGGGAATAATAGTGATAATGATACTGCGAAACCAAAGTCCTCCTGCACGTAGCAAGCAGCACTGCTAATGCTGGTGTCTATCAACTGTAAGGGTCAAGGAGGCGAGCCATCTACCCTCGAACTCATTTCGGTGAGAACCTTGACAATGCCATGAATTTCATAGGACGGTGGGCAATCCGTCCCACAAAGTTCCTTCTATGCACGCTGAACCGGTCGACTCCCGGTACCTGAGGAATGCAAATGACAAATGCCCACCAGACGTCAATTGCGACCCAATCTCTCCTCCAAGTCCTCGGTCAACTCATACGCCGGAAGATACCGCGACTGCTCGGCGCTGCCGGCCTCGGACTCCTCAGACCCGGTCCCCTGACGCAGCAGCTTGGGGTTGGGCCGCGTATCGGCGGTGCCGCCCAGACTCGTGTACCCCTGGTCGTAGAGGGCGCAGTACTGCAGCCCGAGGTGGCGGATGAAGGCCCAGATCTCGGTGTAGTGCCAGTCGATGACGGGGTGGTAGCGCAGGAACTGGGGCCAGCCGCTGTCGGTGTAGTCCTGATGGGTCAGGCGGGCGCCGTGAGGGTCGGTGCGGCGGGTGCCGACGAAGATGGCGCGGACGGCCGGGTGCTGGGCCAGGTAGTCGGCGAAGACGGAGCGGATGGTGGTGCGCGGCGGGTCGGTGGTGTACTTGACCATGTCGAGGTGGTAGTGGCGGGCGGACCAGGCGACGAACGCCTCGACTTCGGGGAAGGGGTCGGGCGGGAGGGCGTAGATGGCGGGGATGGAGGTTAGAGAGTTGAGTTTGTTGTTGGTGTTGTCTGTCGGCGGGGTTTGTGGTTGTGGTTGTGCATCTGTTTGTGTTTGTGCTTGTGGTTGTGATTGTGCTTGTGCTTGTGGTTGTGATTGTGTGGTTTGTGTCTGTTGTTGGTGTTGTTGGTGTTGTTGTTGTTGTTGTTGTTGTTGTTGTTGGCTCGCCGTCGTCCTCGTCGGTAGGTTGTGGAGACTCGCGAGAAACAACACGAGCATCACGAGGCAATCCTTGCCGCCGTTGTAGGAGAGGGAGAGGTTCTCGAGCGGGAACGTGTCCAGGGCCGCGGCGAAGACGTCCAGGGTCACGCGCGTTTGCTTCTGCACGGCGGCCAGGAGGGAGTCCGCGGGGTGAGATTCGGAGAGGAAGCGTTGGATCTGGTCGTGCAGGGCAGCGATGGTGGTCGTTAGTGGGGGTGCGGTGGTGTTTTTCTCATCTTCATTGTCATTGTCATTGTCTTTGTCTTTGCTGGTAGTCGTCGCGTCGGTCCTGAGGGGGATTGAGTTGGCTTCTGTTGTCGCCTGCTGCTCGGCATCATCGGCCGCAGCGGCGGGGTAGGATGCCGTAGGAGTGTGGGGTGCGGCTGCCAGTGCGCTTGCGCAGGTGCCATTTGGTTGAGACGTGGCCGGTTCGGAGGACATGGTTCTGGTTCTGGGGCCCTTTGGGATGGGGGGGGGTGGTAGGGTAAGGAGACAAAGGCGAAGAAGAGGTAAAGGAGGGCAGCGGAGGAGGTGGAGGGGCTTGGTAGCGATGACTCGGGATGGGATCGGTGGTTATCAGCTTGGTTTTTAGGGCGGCCGAAATAGGTGTGGTTGATGCCGCGGAGTGCCAGCCTAGGCTAAGTTCGTGGGGACTAGTACCGTCTCAGTACAAGTGAGGTATCGTGATATGTAGAAGCAATGCAATGGGAAGAAATGTATGAGAAGAGGTGTGTGGAATGTAGAGGGAGGCTAGGGCATGACAAGTAGATGATACAACGTTGCGAACCCCTGAATGTGATTGTTCAATGGGCTGGAGTCGAGTCGGTCAATTGATTGATTGAGGGTTTGGGGGAGGACAGAAAGGCGGAAGGCTGTGACGCTGCCTGCCACTGCCACTGCCACTGCCACTGACTGCCACTGCCCGCTGGGACTGGACTGGAATGTTCTTTCTGCCCCCCGCATTGAAACTTCCTTCCCCCGAGGCTCACCGCCTTCTTATCGCCGTGTGATCGGATATCAATGCAATTAATTGATTCGCTTTGTTCCGACTATGGATTGATTGAAGGGGTATTCTCTTTGGTGCATGTCTTCACGGGCATATATACTGGGCCAGGACTGTTGATATTGATGGAGAGCCGAATAGAGAGTGTGTGGCGAGAAACACCCCCTTGTTTATGCTCCAGCTGCTCGTGGTTGTATTCTTTTCCGCGGACGTCTACTCCGTACAGCCTGCGATTCCATAGACCATCCATAGGGAAGGACATCAGATGAATACATGCTCTGCCTCACCCTGGTGGCGGTGCCTCTGCTGAGTGGATTTAATCTAGAGTCACCGAACGTATCTCCGTACAGTGGTTGACAAAAAGCCCGACAGCACAAACACTGAAGGCAAACAGTAAGGTATATAGGTTTCATTAATACTATCGTCCCCATAATTGAAGCTCTCAAACCCCAGAGAGTCAATCGCCGGTGCTTGCTGAATATCCGGCTTCGTGGTGGGGCATGTTCATCCCAGCACTTTCATTTTCTTCTTCTTCTTTTTGTCCCCATCCTTCTTATGTCCCTTCTGGAAGTCGCGCCAGCTGCCAATCCGTTCGTCGCGAGTATCCTCCCAGGCTTTGTCCTGGTCGCGTTTTCGTTTCCGTGCCTCCAATTCTTCTTCTTCCTTGCGCCGTTCGCGTCCTTCCTCTTGCAGCTTGGCCTTGGCCTGCCTGCGCCGCCGCGCCTCTTCTTCCAAGAGCACCGTGACCGTCATCTGACGCCATTCTTTCTTGAACTCTTCCGTCTTCAGCTCCGGGGAGTCGAGGGTGTACTTGTGTTCGCGGATCAACAGTCGTCGCGCATCCGCAATGCATTCGTCGAGGTATTCGCGCTTCTTCTCGTCCATGAGTGCGGAGTGCGCTTTCTGGAGACGATCAAAGGCATCGGGGGCGGCCGGGTTTTTGGTCTTATCCGGGTGAATCAAAAGGGACTTTTTGCGATAGCACATTTTGATATCCTTCTCTGTGACTCCCGGCTGTAGGTCGAGGACGGCGTATCTATCTCAACCATCGCGGATTAGCGTCTAGGTACCACGCTTTGACAAATATGAACTCTTGCAGTACGATGCGCGCAACTTACGCGTCCAAGACAAAAGCTTTCCTAATCCGATCAATCTCTGCATCCTGCGATTGGAGTTAGCGTCAGCGACGGAATTGTCAATGGGGATGGGGGGGGGGGGGGCGTGGAAGGCACCTTGTCAAAATCGGACGCTTCCCGCTCGAGAGCGTCCAGCGCATCTTGTTCCTCGGAGGCCATGATACTTGATTTCCGGGGGCCCAGGTCAAGAACAAGCAGCTCTCCTCAGGGTCGCACTGGTCGTGTGTCTGCAAGTTGAATGGCGATCGATGATAAGCATTGGCTTATCGCTAGCTGAGTCATCGGCGAACGCCCGCCTGGCAACCAAAAAGAGAGAGAAAAAAAGTTGCTTCACCGCCCGGAGACCGAGATTCGCATTTCTGAACAGCACCAAATCATTGTTTCATTACTATTGTTCCCACACGATACCAATTCTCGCCCTTTGCTTTTCGTGGACGCACTTGTGGGATTCGATCTTCCAGACTAGCCCACTATGGCTCCGACTCACGGTTCTCGTGATAAAAAGCAAGCCAAACCACCTCAACGGGCCGGTAATTTGAAGCGCAAGCGTGCCCAAGACGATCTGTCTTCCCTCATCCAGCGAGTGGAAGAGCTCGATGTCAAGGACTCGATCAAATCATTTACCGATTTGCCTCTATCTGAACCGACCGCCTCCGGACTCGCCTCATCTCACTACAAGACCCTGACCGATATTCAGTCCCGTGCGATCAGTCATGCGCTCAAAGGCCGCGATGTTCTAGGCGCCGCGAAGACGGGAAGCGGCAAGACTCTGGCTTTCCTCGTCCCTATTCTCGAGAACCTTTACCGCAAACAATGGGCGGAGCAAGACGGCTTGGGCGCCCTCGTTCTCTCGCCGACCCGCGAACTCGCGATCCAGATCTTCGAAGTCCTCCGCAAAGTTGGTCGCTACCACCAGTTCTCTGCAGGTCTCGTCATCGGTGGAAAGAGTCTGCGTGAGGAGCAGGAGAGACTGGGACGGATGAACATTCTGGTCTGTACGCCTGGCCGGATGCTGCAGCACTTGGATCAGACCGCTTTGTTCGATACATACAACCTACAGATGCTTGTTCTGGATGAGGCGGATCGCATTCTGGATATGGGATTCCAGAAGACCGTGGACGCGATCATCGGCCATCTCCCGAAGGAGCGCCAGACGCTGCTTTTTAGCGCAACGCAGACAAAGAAGGTTTCCGACCTGGCGCGACTGAGTCTCCAGGATCCAGAATACGTGGCTGTCCACGAGGCAGCCTCCTCCGCCACCCCCTCGAAACTCCAACAACACTACGTCGTCACTCCCCTCGCGCAGAAGCTCGATGTCCTGTGGAGTTTCATCCGAAGCAACCTGAAAACTAAAACCATTGTCTTCCTCTCTTCCGGCAAGCAGGTGCGGTTCGTTTACGAAACCTTCCGGCACATGCAGCCCGGTATTCCCTTGATGCACCTTCACGGCCGACAGAAGCAGGGCGGCCGACTCGATATCACGACCCGGTTCTCGTCGGCACAACACGCCGTGCTCTTTGCCACCGATGTCGCTGCGCGCGGGCTGGACTTCCCGGCTGTCGACTGGGTCATTCAGCTGGATTGCCCGGAGGACGCCGATACCTACATCCATCGTGTGGGTCGTACGGCACGGTACGAGCGCGACGGTCGCGCGGTACTGTTCCTGGACCCCAGCGAGGAGAAGGGAATGTTGAAGAGTCTGGAGCAGAAGAAGGTTCAAGTCGAGCGTATCAACGTGAAGGCGAACAAGCAGCAGAGCATCAAGGACCAATTGCAAAATATGTGCTTCAAGGACCCCGAGTTGAAGTACCTGGGCCAGAAGGCCTTCATTTCCTATGTCAAGTCTATCTACGTTCAGAAGGACAAGGAGACGTTCGACGTCAAGAATCTCAAGCTGGAGGAGTTTGCGGCTAGTCTGGGTCTTCCTGGTGCGCCCCGCATCAAGTTCATCAAGGGTGAGGATACGAAGGAGCGCAAGAACGCGCCCCGTCTGGCCGCCTACGCGTCCAGCGACGACGAGTCGGATGAAGATGGCGAGAAGAAGAAGACCAAGAAGGAAGAGCCCCAAGTACGGACCAAGTATGACCGCATGTTCGAGCGCCGGAACCAGGATGTGTTGGCCGAGCACTACTCGAAACTCATCAACGATGACGGCACGATGGTCGAGCCCAACACCGCCACGCAAGATGCCGATGAGGATGATGACTTCCTGTCCGTCAAACGCCGCTTCGAAGCTGGAGATAAGGATCTGGGCGCTGGATCCAGCTCGGAGGAGGATGACGACGAAGCAGGCGCGGAGAAGAAGCCGACCAAGGTGGTCCAGCTGGATGGCAAGCAGGCGTTGGTCATCGACTCCAAGCGCCGGGAGAAGCTGCTCAAGTCGAAGAAGAAGTTGCTCAAGTTCAAGGGCAAGGGATCGAAACTCGTTTTCGACGACGAGGGCAACGCCCACGAGCTGTACGAGATGGAGGACGAGGAGGACTTCAAGGCCAAGGGCGATGCCAAGGAGCAGCAGGCTCGCTTCCTGGCGGAGGAGGCCGAGCGCACGCGGCGGGCGGATGTGGAGGACAAGGAGGTGGCCAAGCAGAAGAAGCGCGAGAAGAAGGAGAAGCGCAAGGCCCGCGAGCGCGAGCTGCTGGCGGCGGAGGCAGGGGAGGGGGGCGAGGGCGAGGAGAGAGTGGCCTACCTGGCTCCGTACAAGGAGGACGACGACCGCGACATGGATGGTGGATTCTCTGCATCGGAGGCGGAAGAGGAGGCCCCTCGCCCCAAGAAGTGGTTCATGGACGACGACAGCGACGACGAGCCCAAGTCCAAGAAGGCCAAGAAGTCCCGGAAAGAGCCCGAGCAGCAGATCCAGACCTTGGAGGATCTGGAATCGTTGGCTGCAGGCTTGCTGGGGTAGTTTGTCTGGGAGGTTTCACGGTTGTCTTCTGCAATGGGTATATCCTTGTGTCTGATATTGTTTCTTATATGAGTTGTTACATAGCGGATAATCTCAAAAGCATTTTCATTGGTTTAATATCTTGTATGTATGTATATAGTTGCATCCACCTATCAATCCGCTCTGATGCTCGTATCTAAAGTTGCGCAGGCTCGATAACTCTATCTGATCTTGGAATCCCAATCACGTGGCTGACAGCCGAGCAGTGGGTCCCGGTCCGCTTTGCATCGGCAGTTCCATCGAACAATTTGCAACGGTGATGGCCAATTCCATTCTTGCTACGTAAGACTTTTCAATCACGCCATCCGCTAACGGCAAAAACTTCAATTGCAGAATAAGACGGTGCGAGAGCTGTCGGCTTGAAGATGTACTTCTTTTTTCCCTGGTTCGAGTCTTTGCCCAGGAGGTTTGAGGTTTGAACAGTTCATATAGCGCTGAAACGCCGATCTGGACTGCAGATTTAGCCCAGGTTTTTCTTGGTCTTCTCGGCTTAGTTCTGTCTGGGGGTTTCCACTTTTCCCCAAGTCACGTGGTACTTGAGGCACTGCTTTGGGAAGTCCATCGTCATTGGTGGACGGGCTGGTCTGCTCTATACTCGGTGAGCAACTATAACACCTCCCCTC